AAGTTGTGCATTTCAGTGTTCAGCTGTTACTATGCTGAAATGTGAAAAACATAGCCAAGGGGTACCTTTAGCTATTGTAGCTGTTGGCTCACTCTTGGGAGAGGCAAAACTGCATAATTTATCTGATGTTTCTTCTGAGTAAGACAAACATATTTTCAAAATCAAAACTCAAGATAGGTTTGTGGTAACAGTGTTGAGATTCCTGAGATAGTTCTGTGCTAGTGCCCTGGCCGTCTGTCTGATAAACCCTGCTAAAGTTGCTCTTGGCACCCTCTGACAGCCTGGCAAGTGGGTATATTCCTCTCAATGGAGCATTTTTCTAGTACCAGAGCTGAACTGGAAAATGAACCTGGAGGCGCAACTCATCGGCCAAGCGCCTGTGGAATGTGAAAGGAATCCAGACATTTAATTCCCTGGTAGCTCTCTGGAAAATCCCTGCTTTGCTGCTCTCGGTAGCTTCAGTGTGTAACCCTGAGCAGCTGGCATTGCCAGTGGGCACCAGAACAGCTGGGAGAGGGCATGCTCATGAGACATTTCTCTTTGCAAATCCTTTGTCACACAGCAGAGGTGCTGTTCTAGGGACCCACTATTTTCCTGTTAAATGTGTGGTGAAGGGCACTGATCTTAGTAATTATGGGAAAATAATAATAAAAAATGGAGGGATATGACTGATAAAAATCTCTGCAAAAAATCCTGGCCATTTTAGCAGGCATGACATGTCAGGTTATGATCCCTCCTGTTGGTACATTGCAAAGGGGAAAAAGGCACGCACGCATCTCTGAGAGCATTTGTCCCTCTAATCTTGTCAGCAAAACCCCTTTTACAACAAACAGGGATACCCCAAAGGGCAGTTCACCCCGTCATAGTATCTAGGAGTAGCAGAGTGAATCGCCCTCTGCAGTGCCCTATCTTAGATGCTGATATGGAAGAAGCCAACACCTGACTTAAAATGACCACATTTCAGTGAGATAAACCCACCCACCCACGTACATAAACATTTAGCTCAGATGGCTGAAGCGTATGGACTGTTGTGTTTATAAGTTCAGTACTCACCATACATCAAAGAAGGCAAGTACAGTTAAAATATACAGAGCAAAAAAGGGATCTTTTTCCTCATGTCACCACCCCTCTCAAGCACCACTACATACAAGTAGCTCAAGTGGCCCCAAGATGTCATAGATTTACTATTACCTCCAGCTAGAGTATTAAATCAGCAGCCATGCCTCTGAAGTGAAGGTTGGCCATCACTCAGAAAGCTTCTGATGAGTTGCTAGTTGCTTCTAAATCAACAGCTTCCCTACAGAAAAAGAAACTCTCTTAGGAACAAGCAACTCCCTTGTCAGTTGATGTTCAACCAGCACACAAACAGATGTTAATGACTTCCAAAAGGGAGAAAGGTCAAACTCAAAAATCCTGTAAATTTCCTGACCTAAAGGAGACCAGTTTCATCATGGTTGAGAATGGAATCACCATTAACCTCCCAAAATAGTGATTATTGTCACATTTAGCACTGGTAATGAGACATATCGTTTCATCTGGTTCTATTTCTTTGTATAAAGCATGATTGTCTGTGTGTGTGTTGCAGGAAATGACTTATTTATTGAGCAGATTGCAATATGAACTGAAGTGCAATATACAGAGTATGACTTCACCATGTGGGAAAGCATTTTACCCTAAGAGATGTTAATGACTTGCTGGCAGTTCATCCCGGTCATTATCAGAGATATCTGTTTGCTACCAGGATGGGAAAGGATGGCCCCTGCTTACCAAAAAAGTCATCAACATTCCTAGACAGCTGAAGGCAGACACTAGCCTTGGGGCAGCAGTGTGGAAAATGTTTCCAGAATAAATTGATACTGATAATCCCAGGAGTGAGAAGTGACTTGAAGAGAAGCCAAGGGGACCCCAAGGAAGGGGAAGTAAATGAACTGAGGTTTTCTGTCGGGAAAGGGTATTAAAGACATGAATCTTGGGGGAAAAGTGGGTCCTTTGATATGGCTCATTAGGTGACAGTGAAAGAAGTTGTTCTTGGAGCTGATTTGCTGGTAAGCAAATAAGTGCTTGTGCTTTTGTCTTCTTTCCCTGTATCTAGATCCTTTCAGGGTGTTGTTTGCATTTAGGCTCTGTAAATAGGCACAAGAGTCTGCTATGTGTTAGATTGGTGTTAAGGATGATGAGAATGTGTCTGAGGCACCTGGCAGACAGCAAAACTATTCTCTGTTGTGTGGCTGTTGCAATCCTTAACCTTAAACACTAGTACCCCAGCTGTTTGCTGAAATTCATTTCTGCGGGCATTCAGATGATTAAAAAGGGCTTCCTCACACAAATGCAGAGGCTATATATTTAGGAACATGAATGAGGAGGATCTGTTTGGAGCTTTCCAGTGACCTGTATTAACTGGGAAAGAGCATAACTCTCCAGCAAAAGAGTAAGAGAGGGTCCACACCCCCAGGGTTTTAATAACAGACACATGTTGGCAAATGACATTGTATTTCAAGTATCGAAACTCTAATGAAATGACTAATAATGTAAAAATGGAAGAGTGGCTGATTTTCTTTCTTTATAGCAATTTTACTTACAAGAATTCTGCATGTTGCCATGGTTTAGCTCATCATGTGTATGACAATATCTTTAAGGTGGTCTTGACTTCCTAAGTCTGTACGAATGTCTCTAAATAACTCTCATTTGCAGACATAATGAGTGCATACAGCTCACACGGAAATGCCTCTGAAAAAATACTACTGTTCGTACCTGTGCTGTGAGTTTGTGCCTGCACGCAGGATGATATTACACTGACATCGTGATCCCAGCCAACCAAAACTTCAAACAAACCCTAGTTCCTTTTCTCCTCTTTTGGCAAGGACACATCAACACATGTCAGATGAAGGTGACCCATGTGATGTAACCACTGACACCCGGATAGTGAGTCTGGCTGGAATGGGGTTAACATTCCCCATAGAAGTGCTGTGCTTTGCACTTGTGCCTAGGAGAGTGTTGGTAACCCATCCACGTGTTGGCTGCTGCTGAGCAGCACCCAGACGGCACCAAGGCTGTCTCTCCAACACCCCCAAGGGCTGGTAGGCTGGGAGTGGGCAAGAGGCTGGGAGGGGAGGCAGCCAGGACAGCTGCCCCAGTTGTTCAAAGGGATATTCCATACCATATGACATTACTCTTAACAATAAAGGCTAACAGAAAATGGACTCACTTCATTATTGAAGTGTTTGTCTTCTGAAGCAGCCACTTTGCATACTGGGGCCCTATTTCCCAAGAAGTGTCTGGACATCGCCCGTTGATGGGAAGTAGAGCATCCATCTCCTTTGGTTTTGCTTTGCTTCTGCACACAACATTTGTTTGTTTGTTTGTTTGTTTGTTTCATTTGACTGCCTTAATCTTGACCCATGAGATTTTATGTCTTATTTTCTCCCCATGTTCTGCTGAGGAGGGGGCATGAGAGAACCCCCTGGGCCGACATTTGGCATCCAGGTAAGGTCACCAAGCCACTCTATGGTACATTTAGTCCTGGATAAATGAGTGTAGTATTTGTCATGTTGCCAGACGAGCGACTGGGAACAGTCTGTGTTCAGAAAGGCAACTTGCAGTTCTTTATAAATTAAAGCAAATGCATGGGGGAAAGACCACTTCCGTCCTGTGTTCAGTGGAGCAAGACTATCTATATAGGATTTTATTACTCACTGATTACTTCTCCTCATGACAACAGTATGAGTAGCCACTTGTGCTAAGAAGGCAGCCAGAGGAGTGACTTCAGAGAGTGCCGTTCCCTTCTGCAGACCTCTTCTTGTGACCCCATGGGAATTCTCAAGCACTCACCTATGGCCATGTGTATTTGCCCTGAACAAAAATATGAAGAACATAATGGAATCCATTTCTAGCTCAGTTAAATGGAAACAATGTAAATCTAATACTGTTAGCGGCAGTATTTAGTACAGTGACCTGAAAAGCTAATCCAAATTCATCATTTTCTAATGGGTTGTTCAGGATTTTTTTTCTTTTTATGATGCAGCTTCTTTAACCCAGATGAATTGTTACATGACTAAGGGACCTGTTCAAAGACAAGAGATGAGAAATTTGCCAACCCCATAGATTAGTGATGTGCAATTAACTGAGTAATTTTAGCATCTTAATACCTCGGGTCTTTTATTTATACAGAGATGGCGTTTCACTCTTCTTTCCTTGGAGGGAGTTGCATAGAATGCAGCAAACACCTGTAATGATTTTCAATAATTTCAGCTGCTATAAAACCCAAAGTATTCATGGACCTTCAAAATTTTGTTCCAGTGGAATGAAGAATTTAGAAACAAATAACATTAAGGACTACATGTTCTGGGCTCTAAACTGTGTTTAAGATCTATATTATAGACTCTGTTAGAGTCCTATTGGTCTTATTGGGGATTTTCCTTTTCACTCAATGGGATTGACTCCATATGCCTCATACTCTCTTAGCTATTATCCCAGGCTGGAGGAGTTGCTGCCATAAATATATAGCTGGTGCCTACTTGTGAGGTCTTTGGCTGCCTGGCAGGCCTTCAAAATAAGGAAGGTAAACTAGATGACTGTAGCTTCTTTCTTGCTCTTCTTATGTAACCTTGTCTGTTTGGGTTCCCATGGCAGAGCCACTGATGATTACTGAGTTTTTCTCTAGTACCTCAGTCTTAACAAACACTGAAGGATGCCAGCTGCCTGCCTGTGTGTCTGCAGTGGTGAACCACACCTCAGGCTTTCTGGTGCTTCCTCAACTCCCCAGACCTTTTGTGATTCATGGATACTCATGGAGAGTAAAACCCTAAACATAACAGTGCTTTGGAGAGAGGTGCCTTCAAATTCACATCTGCAAAAAGTTACTGGCAGCAGAAACATTAAAGAAATTCAGCTCTGATCTCAGTCCTCAAGTCTTTGGCTTGCTGTGGTGTGATAAGTCATTTGAACATGTACAGCCTTGGAGTAACTAAGTGGGTATGAGCATGTCTATGGCTCCTGGGCACCTGTTGGTTTCAATGTCAGAGTCAGAAAAGGCTTATTAAAAGACATGACGTAGTCCATTTATTTTAGTCAAGAGTTTTCAGCCATGCAATTTGCCTGTGGGTGACAGGTTATTCTGGACATTTTCTTATTCAGCTTCCGTCTTCTTACGTTGTAGATCACAACCTTATCTTGTTTGTTCAACAGCTCTCCTTCCAGTTCACCCTCCTACACCAGCATAAAGTTGCTTTACTTTTAGATAATTAACCTTTTCTTTTGCCAGCAGTAGATAGAGTACAGGGCTTCATAATTGATGTGCTGTTGTCTCTGATTTCTTTACACACCCGTGGGGGCTTTCAATTGTTGTTAAGAGCTGGAGTCTCGGTTTGAATCCACAACACAGTGCTGCCTTATTATTTACCCTGAGTAGAAATGCAACAGAAATCGATGAAATGAATGATTATTATTACCCAGAACTGACTGGAATTCAGATGCTGAAAGATGTGCCCAAATGAATTTTTAAAGAGGCAGAGGTGCACAGAGACTATGTAACACCAAGTAACACTCAGAAAATAGCTCTCATTTGGAGATGAACATCTGACTGTAATTGAATTTTCAGTACCTAGTTAGCAGAAAAATACAAGAGATTTTATTGACTAAAAAGCTTCTCAGGAGGCATGTTCATTAAAGCAGCACCTAAATATTGAAATAAAAGGCAGTGCCCAAGTCTCCAAGATAAGCAATTCCTAGGAAAATCCTGTCCTGCAAGCCTAATTTCAACAAGCAGGCCTTGGAAATCAGTTTATTGGATATTGGCTGAATAGAACCTTTATCCTGGGGCACAAGGGCTTTTAATCTTCAGATCATTGAGAGCCTGGGCTTTTATGAGAGCTGTAAATAGGGTGTGATTCATGAATGTACATCATCATTTCTTTGTACTCATGAACACTTGGAAAGTCAGCGTGACCTGGGATTGTGTCTGATTTTTCAAGAAACAGGATTCTGTACTATATCAGAGTCTGACATTGCAGGTGTAATGTAATATGGTGTGCAGCTATCTTAAGATCTGCTGCTGACTTGGTTCCTTTAATTTGAGTTAACCTGCACTTTGCTCAGAAGTAAACAGTATGTGCAGAAGAGGGAAAGGGAAATCCTTCACCTTGTTCAACCATGGACAGGGGAATTCACAGGCTATCTCTGGATTCCTTTTCAAACTCATCTTCATTCCCAGTCTTCTGGACAAGTACATGACTTTACGGCAGTTGCCAGGACCTCTGGAGTTTGACAAGCCCCATTTGCTGGAAAATGAAGGTGCGATTACGTCAGAGCAAGTTGTTGATGCCCAAGAGACTTAAGTGCAGTCTTTGTTTCTGCTGTGAATGGTCATTCCCTAATGTAGGAAAGAGAGAGAAGATTCTGTTCACTTGGCTGACCCCATAATACAGCTGAGTCCTCACACCTCAACCCTGAACCCAAATGCTCCTTACTCCTTCTCCTTGCCATGCCTCTGCAGAGCGCAAATTTGTCAGTAGCAGCTATGACCCAGTGAAGATGACAGATTGAAAAACAGGCAACTCTGTGATTTGTTCTCCATCATCTCCAGGTCTCTTTATCTTCATACCTCCTACCTGCACCAGCCCGATCTCAGTGACAGCACACGGTGGCAGGGAGCAACCATGTTAACGTGAGAGAGGCCTTTGCCTCAGCCTTGGTCTGCACAGCCTGTCTGGACTTTTATTGAGCCATCCAGAGGCACGCCTGCACACACTGAGTAATTGCATTTTGTTGTGGTTGTTGTAAAATACATTGGAAACATGTGTGCCATTAAACTCCTGCATCCCAATCAGTGTCATTTCTTTTGCTGTTTTATTTCAATTTAACAGGTCAAAGGAGACATTTCAGTGAGGAGCTGTGACTGTCTTGTAATTCTCTGTTTTCTTTGATGGGCTGCAGGAATGTGTGTCAGTGTCAGAGCAAACACAGGGCTGCTACAGGTTCAAAGGGAGTATTTCGTTCTGGCTAAATCACCCCAAAAGGCAACTCAGGGTAGCCTTCCCTCCCTCCAGGATGTTTCCAGGTGGCTTGTGAAAAGGGGGTTCATCTTTAGGGGAGCATTTGGTGTCAGTGCAATACCTTATAAGAAATATCCATCTTTCTCAGCGGTGCTTTGTGGATATTCTATCTGTCAGAGTCAGATTCCTATAACTACTCATGGGACAAGTTCTCTGCATTGCCCAGGGCTCCTGGCTATCTATCTGGCTATCTCAGTGGGTTATCTCTTTGTTATTGGCAGTGGCACTTAGAGTCTGATTCTGTGTAAAACACCTAGGAGCTACCTGAGGTTTTGCAGGATCAGTCTGTTGTGGACCACCTCGCCTTTATTGAGTTCCTCTTTGTGTACCCCGGCAATTGAGCTGATCAAGGAAAGAAGTCAGGTGTCATTATCTCCCCAGTTCTGATAAAGGATGAGGATTGAGCAGCCCAGTTTCTCTCATAGTTTTCAGCTTTCATTGGCCTGTGTTCACAAAAAGTGTTTAAAATGTTGGTTACACTCTCCCTTCAAATAAGAGAATTCTGTGCCTCTGACAGAAGGTATAAAGTATTTTGTTTATTCAGTGAAAGATAGCAATCACGAGCATTAGGCTGCATTTAAAAGCCTTGGACTTTATTAGGGAAATAGACTTCAGTTTAATAGGAAAGAAAGGGAGAGGTGGAGAGAGTGAAAGGAACAAGAAGGAAATTTCAAAGTAAAATGTTCCAAGACCTCTTATTCATGAGTTTAATTTTTGCCTGTTAAGCTTAAACAACTTTCCATTAACATTCCTTATTGAGTACTGTGAATGGAAAAAGCAAATAAACACTAGTCTGTGGCCTGATGTGTTGTCAGTAATGCCGTTCATGATTTTTTTTTCTCTGTCAGTGAAAGGGAAGGTGCCATCACCACCACTACTTGACAGCCTGGTCAGACTCTTGGCTGCATCTCTGTGCAACACAGGGAAGAGAAAAGAGCTTTGTTTCACCTCCATGCTGCGGACTGAGGACTGTTATGGGGACTTATAAAATGCACCCCAATGGTTGTGGAAGGAAAGCCTTCTGCCATCATATCCTATGCTACCTTTCCTGAGCTGCTCAAGCTCTGTTTTGCAAAGCCAGTAGGGTTTTCTGGAACCCACCACTTTCATCTGAAGACCTTCACATCTGTAATGAGCAAGGACATCTCTTTAATTTCCAGTCTGCATCTTATTAACCCACTTGTTCTTATGCCAGGATTGACCATAGTAGTTCCTTTCTCTCTTTCATGTTTACCGCCTGCTCCTCCGCACTGGCTTGAAATACATGGACCCTCTTTTAAGAGTTCATGCTGAACTAGGTTAAAATCCTCCATACCCTTCTTATAAAATAATGTCTTATCACCATGCTCAGGTCCCTAGAAGGAGTCAGCAGGCTCATATCACTAAATGCTTTACTCTCTTTCTCATAAATATTGGTACTTTTCGTTTCTTGTCTGGGTGTTCATCCTACCACTGACATTGCTTTCTCCATTGCTGTATCTTCCTTTGCCTTGCTTTCCCGTCTCAGTCTGCACAAACTGATGTGTAGGAAAGACACTTCCAGTCTTGCCTTTTCATCTCTTAATTTAAATTTCTTCTTATCAGAAACAATATTTGAAGATGAGTGAAAGAAACTTTCTAACACAGAAAACATGTTTAGGAATATCCTGGATCTGTTTCAGTCTTATCCAGATTCTTGAGATAAAAATTCAGGCATATGAATGTAGGTGTCTTCATGAGCACAAGATGACAAAGGCCCCTTTATGTTTATTGGACAACCAGAGCTTGATTCAGATGCTTACATGTAGGTGTCTGATACAGTTTATGTTGCCAGAGATCATCTAAGATATCTTCACTAAGCTTGCGGATATGACACAGTAACTACAAGAGTGCCACACCTTTCTGGGAAGGCATCTCAAACATAGGTAGACTCCTCAAGGTCATCTCCGTGACTCCAGATGTCTATGCTTCACTAACAGAGTCAGAGTAAAGAGCACAGAGCTATTCAGGTCACCTACACCTGTCTTCCAAATAGCTCTACAGGCTCTGCTGACAGTGGAGTTCAGTATTAAAGAGCAACAGGAGCTGTTGCACTGGAAGTGGCAGGAGCTTTGACACACAGTTCCCATGTTTGTGTGCAAGTTGAAGGCACTCAAATAACTTGCACCTGGGCTGAATGTCAGTGTGTGGGCTTAGCTTAGGCTAAGGGGCTTTGAGGGGGCAATTCAGAGCATCCTGGGTAAGGAATTTCTGCTCTTGAAATCAGATTCTTTCAGTGAGATGGTATTTCTCTGGAGAAGAGAATGAGGAGAGGAGGAAGACAGAGAAGAAAGCAAGAATGGAGCTGTTGTATGGGCTCTTAGGCTATAAAACAGCTGGCCATGGCAAATATTTGTAGAGGAATGGATTATGAGTCAGTTACATTTCAATCAAAAGACAGTATAGGCAAAGTTATGCTGATTAAGTAAGATTCTTTTATATTTATTTAAAAGGAGAAAGCCTTGATGAGTTGAAGGAGCTAATTAATAAAGACAGCTAATCTCAGGATTTGAATGTGTGTATATGAATTTCAACCAACTATGGAAAATACCTTAAACTTCTATTCCAAGAAAGAAGAGAGAAAAACAAACAGAAAAGGACTGATAATGTAACTGGATGAATAATCCAGGGGTAAAGAAACCTAAAACCAAACAGGGAACAGAGGGAGAAAAATGGGAAAATGAAAACAAGGAAATTATAAGTTACAGAGGTAAAAACAAGATTTTGCAAGCTCCAAGTGAACTTAAGACTTCAAAGTTCATGAGAAAAGGATGAAACCTTCACTGGTTATGTAAAAATTAAAGAAATAAGGAATTTGAGCATTATAGGATGAACATTAAAGATGTTCTATCTTTGTTTCCAAAACCTAAGTGAATGTGTTGCCTCCATTTTCAAGAACTAAGAGAGAAAGGCAGTGGTTAATGCAAATGATATTATCTCCATGGAGCTCAGGTGTTTATGAATTGAGGAAGAAATAACCTCTATCACTGGACTTTGAAAGAACCAGCAAAAACACTAGGTTTGGTAGCAAAGTTTTTAAATAAAATTCTTAGTTTAGAGGTGATATTACAGAAATAGAGAACAGCAAAGGTAACATCTATGTTTTAGAAATGTGCAAAATGTGACTTAGAAAACCACAAGCTTGTTCGTGTGATCTCAATCAACCACAGGTCCTTAGAATGAAGTAAAAGAATGTGGATAACAGGTAAATGAGAGAAATGCCTCATTTGAAAATGGATTACATAGGCAATTATTAGGTGAACTGGAGGAAGGGATTAGCAGAAGAAATGTTATAGAGAACTGGCTCTATAAGTCATAAATGGAGCTAGTATTCAAAGTCAAGACATCATAAGGGAGGCAGTCTCTCTGATGTGGCTAGTGATTTAAATATTTCTTGCCAATGCAGAGAGAAATCAGAGCATCTGAACAAAATGAGACATGATTCAAAGTTCAAATAACAAAAGTTTCTGCTTTCGGAGAAGAAGAGAGCTTTTCTGAAAAAAATGACTGAAAGGCCAGCTGACTAGAAGCCAACTACAGTGGAGTAGCCATGGGAAAGAAAACTGTAGTCTTGAGAATATCAGTATATCCAACAAAAATAGGAAAGCAAGTACGCCATTTCAGAAGACATTTGTGAAATTTTACATGCAACATCTCAATTAGGTACAACTAGGATTTTTTTGTTTTTGGGTTTTTTTAGCTTAGTTACAGCAGGTGATCAGGGTGCTTTACACCATGTTAGGTTCGTTTGTTCAGCTAGTGATGGTTTTGCTTACCCCAGTTTTATTCACGTGACTCAGATTCTCTCCTTTGCACACACATACCAGTATCTACTGTCAGCACTGCCTGGTAACAGCCTGCTACCTTTTTCCTTCCTCTGCTTTCTACGTGATTTTATGTGCCAGATAGCAACTGTGACTTGGTTGGGAAGTGGACAAACACATCATATTTGTAACTGCAATGAAAGTTATTTTAAAAGCTTCCCTGCCTCTCCTACTCACTGCATTACGGGGGGAGTGCAGATTACAATGCATCTGAGGCATGCTAGTGACAGTGGGCTGGGCTGGTTCCCACTCAGACTTTTGTCCTTCTACTGTTCTTTTGCTTGCCCATTGTATCCTGACACAACACTGCAGGAAAAAACATCCACCTCGGCTGGCTTTGCAGACTGTTTGACTTGATGATATATTTATCATAGATTAAGATTA